TCAAAACACACAATCGCCATCTACTGGATAAATGACAAACTGTTAAAAGCAGTCAAAAGGCACAATGATAAATAAAGTGAAAATGGACAGTACTGGTGAAAGAACTTTAATACATGACAAAAAAACACTCATTTGACGATTTTAGATCGTGTTCTTCGCCGTGTTTTGTCCAACAACTGCAGAAGCTGCCGTCTGCCTTCAAACAGCAGTATACTAGCAGCCATTGCAGAGTTCAGGCTCTCCACTCCTGGAGCCATGGGCACAAAGAGCCTTTTGCCCTCTGTTTCCACAGCCAATCGCCGAGCCTCCAGACTCAGTCCATGCGTCTCTCCGCCAATCACCAGTGCCGTGCTCCTCTGAGCCCAACTCTCATAGTACACCTGAGGCTTCAGACACGGCAGTGAAGGTTCATCATCGGACTCTTCATCAGAGTCACTTTCACTGTAGTCATCCAAAGAACCTTTTTCTATTTGTCCTGGAACTGGAGCTTTTATACTGTTATCTGCTACATGGACAACCACGTCCTTTGGTAAGTGCTTGGAAATTTCATCCCAGTCTAAATTAGGAAAGACCGGAAGGCGGAAATGAGCTCCCATTGCTGCACGAAGAACCTTGGGCTCCCAGGCGTCCACACAACCTGAAAAAAAAAAAACAGCAAGTGATTAGAGTTTATTTTAATGCATTCCGGTCATTTTTGACCCGGAAAATATTTCTAAAAATTCTTAAAACAAAAAAACATGGTTTTAGTATAGTAAACTAAGTGTCAATACTATTAAAATAGTTTTTTTTTCCTATTATAAGTATTTTTTAAGAGACATAACTATTTAAAATAGATAACTATTTCATTACCTGAATATCTGTGGTGGTGAAAGAGTGAAAAATTTAAGGGGGTCTGAATACTTTCCGTACCCACTGTATATCAAAATATATTAAAATCTTAATTTTTTGTCAAAGGTTATAAGTTCTTGTTTAAAGTATTATTATTATTATTTTTATTGTAATTAAGGAAAGTTTTAAATTGGGTCCAACAGATATATGCGATCCAAATACGCCAAAAACTCATCACCAAACTCCAATGACTTGTAAATATGGGTACAGACATTTTAGACACTTCCAAAACTGTTGCATTTTTAAATATATATGAATGTTTCAATCTCTGTTGCCACTTTTTTTTATTAATTTTGTAAACATATGCACACACAAACACTATATGAAAAGACAAAAAAAAAAAAAAAAGGAATTATAAAAATTTTAGAGCAATATTTATGTTGTTTTACCAGAATATGAACATGTAGGTTTCAGAAATTTGGACTCTTGGAGTAGTCATGACATGAGTTATGAGTTCAAAGGAATTTAATTAAATCCATTGTTTTCAATTGTTAATACAGGTAATTATCATATTTATCATATTATATTAATTTCATTTAACAATATATTCATATAAAATGTATCAAATATTAAATTATTATTGCATTACAGCTCATTTTGCTATAGCTTAAGTATTTAAAGTTTCAAAAAATGTTCTAGCTTTTTTAATAAAAAATGGTAAGTGTAGTAATAACATAGTAATATGCAAAACCTGTTTGCACATTTACTCATTAATGAGAAGTTCTTCATTTAAATACAATGTTTTTTTTCTGAAACATATTAAGTTATGAGAATGTTAAAAAATTTACATACTGACCCAGAATGTGAAAACAGGCTGCAGTGTTTTATAAGTTTATAAGGTTTAAGTATAATATATAAATGTATTACACACACCTTTGGTAAGAAGAACACGCTCACAGCCAGCAGCTGCCGCACAGCGTAAAATAGTCCCTAGGTTCCCAGCGTCACGTATATTGTCGCATAACAGAAACAAAGGAACCGACTGAAAGCGCGTGTCTTTTGGAAACACCAGGCGGGAGGCATCCGGTTTTGAGAATATAGCTGCGATTTGAAGGAAACAATGTGATTGGAGTTGTGTTATAAACATTTAGATGTGAACTAGGTTTATAAAAGAGTCAGCAACGCACCTATAACCCCCTGAGGAGTGACCAGGTCAGACCAGGTCTTCATGTCTTCATATCTGACCTTGATGAGCTTGGCCTGCTGTAGTTTATCTAGAGGAAGCTCCTGCAGTCGCTCCACTGCACTGAAGAAGAGCATCTGAGGTGCCGCTCCAGCAGACAGAGCGTCACAGATCAGACGCCTCCCCTCCAGCAGCACCTTACCTTCCTTATCCCGAAACGCTCTGGACCGGGCAACACTGGCCACCTTCCTGAGGGCAGAGTGACAGATCTCTTAAAACTACACTGTGCAACTTTTTCTTTGATAAAAATAACAACATGTTAATGAGAGAGTGCAAAACAATCCATCTTCCAAACCATGTCTTTACTTTACCCTAATACACTTTGATAAACCTATAAAAATGATTAATATTTTAGACCTGTCGGGACGGACATAGATAATTCAAAACGATGACAATGACCATGGATCATTCAAAACAACAAACCCTCCAGGGAATCACCGGTTGTGAGGTATTACAAGATTTGTCCTGGATGTGTGTGTACATTTATTTGCACAGAGGAGCAGAGCCGAAGCACAACAAAAACTATTTTCTTCCGACCCCACACATTTACAGAGCGACTGCATTAAATAAATATGCATTTTTAATAATACAAATGATATAACTTTTTTTATTATTATTATTTACTCCTCAACAATACATTTATGCTGTGTTTTGAGGGATATGTGGTACTTTTTTTTAGCTATTTACTGCAAAATTGTTCAACTACACCATTAGTCTGCATATAGAAAAAATACAGAAGTGCCTTTTTCTGTTTTAAAGAAGGGGGTGTCCCAATACTTTTGGCAATATAGTGTATATATGGTGGTGCTCCTCTATTAAATACACGAAAATGAATAAATAACCAAAAGAAATTAAACGTAAACTAATCAGACATCTTGCCATTTAAAACTCAGTTGATGTATTTTTCAAGAATGCCGATAAATTGGTGTAATTTTTCCACTCACGCGAGTCTGTTATCTCCAGCAGGAGCCTTCTCGAAGCGCAGGCCAGAGAGTTTGTCCTTCATCTGTGGAGACTCTTCTGCACATTCAGAGACATGTCCACTCCACTGCTGGCTGCCAGCTCTCTCTGAGACTTTCTCTCGGTGTTTGTCCTTCTGTGTGAACAGCTTCTGGTTCATTTTATCAGCTGCTTCGTTTGATTTAATTAATCTCTCTCGTTCGCCATCATAATACACGACCGCCACGGGTCTCCGCCGGAGGGCTCGGACATATCGCCTCGAATTCACCAAGATCCGCTGGTTATTATGTCCTCTGAGTAATAAACTACGTTCCCCGAAAATAACAAATCCACGACCCACGTTATACAGGAGCGCTGCCATGTTTGTTGACCGCCCATCGCCTGCTAGTGTTGGGTCGTTCTTGAACGATTCGTTCGTTTTGAACGAATCTTTAATGTGACTCGGGAAGAACGAGTCGTCTCGGGGAGTGATTCGTTCAGTCGCGCATGCGCAACATCCTATAGGTTCTGTACTGGAATTAGTCAAGTAGTTCACCTGTTTCGAGTCTTCGGGTTTTTCGAGTCGTTCGTTCATCACGTGACAGCCCCATAAGCCCAAACCCGAAGACTTGTCAGATAAGAGGTGGTGAGCTAATCATAGACTGAAGACCCAGGTAAACAATGAATTAATATTTTCTGTTTCTTATAGCAGTTTTGTATTGTTTGTAGTGTGATCAACGTTTGCGTAAGTAGTAGACATATTAGGGAAGTAACACGTAACATTTTAATTATATTTTGTTAAAATGAACGAAATGACTCGAAAAAAGATTCGTTCATTTTGCTGAACGAGACTCAAAGGTCCGAGTCGGTAAAATGGTCCGAACTTCCCATCACTATGCCTGCGTCACAGGGAATGAACTACTGCTGTCCGATTTGTGAATCATTCTTCTGAGTCGGATCTTTTTCAAGAGTTGATTGCATCACTTCACCGGTGTCTTAAGAAGTCGGGTCTCTTATCAACTAATTACACACAAACGACATTGATCTAAAATATGCATATACTTGCTGCTTACTATAGTGAAACATAAACTTGATCAAATCTCTGATTCGTAATAATGAGCCCTGAGGATATGAGTGATGGGAACAGTTAAGTCAGACATTGAAGTGAATTGCAGTTTTTTGTCATTCTGCTGAAGAAGACTTTATTAATGTGTTTTGACAATAATGCACTTATACAGAAAACTTTTGGTCAGAATGTTTAATGTTTGTCCAATTTTATTTTGTAAGTGGCTTCTCTTTTTGTTTTAAAACGTTTTTTTATTATTATTATTATTATTATTTGACCACTTAAAAGAAGATACAGGAAAATATTACATAATTAATTTATGTTTCCTGTTAGCCAAATTTCATATACACAAACAAAAATGTACTGGCTCCAAAACTCTTTTTACTTTATTCAGAGTTGACTAAAACAAGTATCTGGAAACTATCCAAAATTCTGTCCATCCGAAAGCAATGAAAACGGTATTTCTTTGTTATTCATCCTTTGTGCCTTCTTAAGACGTGAATTTATTACTTTGTTGTTGTTTACCCTGGCTGGTTGCATATACTTTTTTTCTCTGACTCTTTTCCTTTGCTTTGTTTTGTCTCTGTATGTAATTATCTGTAAGTAACTGTTTAATAAAAAAGAACAGGTCGATATCGATATTTTAAAAAGCGATATTTGAATCAATTCGTTGGAACGAACTGTTCATTGGAACCGATTCGCGTGGTTGACTCAGTGCCCCAGCACTAGTATGGACTGTACCATGTAAGAATTCACCAAGAAATGTGTTATTAAGATTCAATTCAACATGTTGTAGCATGTTATTTTGCATTACAGTATATTAAAAATATTGACGTAATGTGCCCTCGTTTATAATGGCATTGCGAATGCGCGTTGAAATGAAACTAACGTTAATTATTTTGGTTTAGTCTGTGGGCTGTCGACAGCAGAGCAGTCGATCGCAAGGTGTGTGTATTGACACAGAGTGTGTGATCAGCGCGTTTACAGTAGGAGACTTTCAAAAGTGATGGCACTAAGAAGAGCACTGCATTTTGTTTTTAAAGTAGGAGACAGGACCAAAACAGCCACTTTTTACAGGGATGTCTTAGGAATGAAGGTAGAAGAGCTGTCTACTGATCTTATTGTAAAATTATAGTTCTGTTATGTAAATAATACAGTGGGAACTTTGCCTCCTAATATTTTTGATAAGCCAGTTAATCACGCTATTACCAAATGCAGGTTGGCACGCGTATTTTCCGTCTATGCTCGGACTCAAAACCTAAATTCATAAACAATAATAAATAATTCTAATCTACAGATTCTGCGGCATGAAGAATTTGAGGAGGGCTGCAAAGCGACCTGCAATGGGTTAAGTCATACTTTTATATTTATTTGACTAAAGCTTAGTTACCTGTATAACCTGTATCAAATTCTCAATATTAGCTTAAGCATATAACTTGTTTGTTTTCAGTCCATATGATGGAAAATGGAGTAAAACCATGGTAGGCTTTGGACCAGAAGATGACCACTTTGTTGCAGAGTTGACCTATAATTATGGAGTGGGTGAATATCGCCTTGGCAATGACTTTCTGGTAAATGACTAATAAATGAATATAAATCATTTCTAACTTGAAACCACACATAAAGTAGAATCTAAACATGTGAAACCATAATATACAGTATCTCACAGAAGTAAGTACACCCCTCACATTTTTGTAAATATTTTATTATATCTTTTCATGTGACAACACTGAAGAATTGACACTTTGCTACAATGTAAAGTAGTGAGTGTACAGCTTGTATAACAGTGCAAATTTGCTGTCCCCTCAAAATAATTCAACACACAGCCATTAATGTCTAAACCACTGGCCACAAAAGTGAGTACACCCCTAAATGAAAATGTCCAAATTGGGCCCAAAGTGTCAATATTTAGTGTGGCCACCATGGAGAGAAAATGGCTAATTGGGCCCAATTTGGACATTTTCACTTAGGGTTGTACTCACTTTTGTGGCCAGCGGTTTAGATATTAATGGCTGTGTGTTGAGTTATTTTGAGGGGACAGCAAATTTACACTGACAAACAAGCTGTACACTCACTACTTTACATTGTAGCAAAGTTTCATTTCTTCAGTGTTGAACTTGTCACATGAAAAGATATAATAAAATATTTACAAAAATGTGAGGGGTGTACTCACTTCTGTGAGATACTGTATATATATATATATACAGTAATTATGATTTTTGGACCAAATATCATATAAAATGTCAGATTCTACCAAATGTCTCGGCCACGAATGAAATGTACATACATTTTCGCAAAACCTGTCGGCGAGTGAAAAATCGGGCTAAAATCGTGCCAAATATCATATAAAATGTCAGATTCTACCAAATGTCTCGGCCACGAATGAAATGTACATAAATTTGTGACACTAATCATGTGAACTCTCATGTGATCATGCTGGATAACCTGATCATCATAATTTTTCAGTTCAGCCTTGAATTGGCATAACACATTTATTTATTATTTTATATTATATTTAATAGATTACAATAGAAGAATTTTCACAAGCAGTTTTAGACCTTTGGCCCCCATTGCATGTTTTCTGTTAAATGGGATCCTATCTAAATAAAGCTGTGATTCCCTGTGCTCTTCAATATTAGGGTCTCACTCTGCAGTCCAGTCAGGCTGTGAGTAATGCTAAGAGGTTAAACTGGCCTCTAACACAAGTCGAAGAGTCTCTCTACATGACTGAAGCTCCGGGAGGATACCGCTTTTACCTTATAGACAAGGAACTGCCCAACTGTGGTGGGTATTTGCACTAATTGTGTGTTATAATAAGGATGTGAGAACTTCCTTTATGAAATATGGAAGTAAATATATGTGTTAACTGTAGTAGTTAAGTGTGCCATTGTATACTGACTCCTAACTGATTGTTTCTGGTCCTGGTAACAGATCCTGTCCAGAAAGTCTCTCTGGCAGTGTCTGATCTGCAGCGTTCTGTTCATTATTGGTCTGCTCTGCTGGGAATGAAGGTTATTGAGAAAAATGAGGACAAAAAGATTGCCTTAATGGGATTCTCAGATAATCAGGTTTGGCTGAAAATAATACATTTATTATATTTTTGGCAATAATTAATTTATGAGGGCACCATGCCACTCACCAAGACCTAATGAATTCATGCTTTGGGTTTGGTTATCCTCTTTTTATAAAACTTACATCAGGCCCTTTACGGAAGAAAATTAATTTATACAAATGTATATTTACATTACTATATATTAGTGCTGTTAAATGATTAATCGCAATTAATCGCATCCAAAATATTTATTTTTTGTTTGCGTAATATATATGCGTGTACTGTGTATATTTATTATGTATATATAAATACACACACATTCACATATATATTTAAGAGAAATATGTTATGTTTATATATTAAATATATTTATATATAATATAAATTACACGAATATAAATATACGTGTAAATATTTTCAAAATATATCCAGTATATGTGTGTATTTATATATACATAATAAATATACACAGTACACACACTCATATTATGTAAACAAAAACTTTTATTTTGGATGCGATTAATCGTGATTAATCGTTTGACAGCACTACTATATATACATTTTTTGGAAGAAATAACAATTTTATTCAGCAAGAATATGTTAAATTGATGAAAAAATATTTCTGTTCTTTTGAACTTTCTGTTCATCAAAGAATGCTTGGAAAGTTTACACAAAATATTAAGAGGTTTTCAACATTGATAATAATCAGAAATGTTTCCATATGTGACCCTGGACCACAAAACCAGTCATAAGGGTCAATTTTTCGAAATTGAGATATTTATACATAATCTGAAAGCTGAATAAATAAGCTTTCCATTGATGTATTAGGTGTGTTAGGATAGAACAATATTTGGCCGAGATACAATTATTTGAAAATCTTTACTTAATATCCTAATGATTTTTGGCATAAAAGAAAAATCAATAATTTTGACCCATACAATGTATTTTTGGCTATTGCTACAAATATACCCCAGCGACTTAAGACTGGTTATGTGCTCCAGTGTCACATATTAGAATGATTTCTGAAGGATCATGTGACACTGAAGGCTGGAGTAATGATGCTGAAAATCATCATTCAGCTTTGTATAAATTACGTTTTCACATATATTAAAATAGAAAACAGTTGTTTTACATTAATGATAATATTTCACGATATTATTGTTTTTATTGTTGTATTTTCATCAAACAAATGCAGCCTTGGTGAGCATAAGAGACTTGTTTTAAAAACATTAAAAGATCTTACCGACCCCAAACTAGGCATGGGCCGGTATGAGATTTTGACGGTACACAAAAAGATTGCCTTAATGGGATTCTCAGATAATCAGGTTTGGCTGAAAATAATCAATTTATTATATTTTTGGCAATAATTAAATTATGAGGACATGCTAGGACAAGCAAGACCTCATGAATTAGTTTGGTTATCTTCTTTTTATATAATGTATATCAGGCCCTTTTTGGAATTAAATTAATTTATACAAGTGTATATATGCATTACTATTCGAAAGTTTGGGATTGGTAAGGTTTTTAAATTTTTTTCTGTAAGAAAATCACTTTTATTTTATATCAAATTGATCAAAAGTGGCAGGAAAGACTTTACTTTCATATTGTTAAAAAATATTTCTATTTCAAATAAATGCTGCTCTGTTGAATCTTCTATTCTTCAAAGAATCAAACCCAATTATTAAGTGGTTTTCAACATTGGTAATGGCTGTTGAAAATTCAGCTTTGCATCACAGGAATAAATTACATTTTAAAATATATTCAAATAGAACATGGTTGTTTTAAATAGCTTTAATATTTCACAGTACTATTGTTTGTTATTAAGTGGTGTGCTTTTGTAGTGTAAGCTGGAGTTACAGGACATTGGAGGCGCTGTGGATCATGGAACTGCTTTTGGAAGGATCGCATTCGCTTGCCCTCGGGATCAGGTCAGCTATTCCAACATCAGCCAACAATATCCATTCTACTTGGTGTCATTTTAAAGAAATTTCTTTGTTTTGCAGTTACCAGACATTGAAGCGCTAATGAAAAAAGAAAAGCAGAAAATCCTAACCCCTCTTGTGAGGCTGGACACACCTGGAAAAGCCACGGTGGAAGTCGTCATTCTTGCAGATCCTGTGAGTCTTTATTGTCTAATGTACTGAGATTGATCCTGAGTGTTTTCTTGGCTGAGTCGGATCTCCACTTCATGTAGGATGGCCATGAGATCTGCTTTGTGGGCGATGAGGCATTCAGGCAGCTTTCTGCTGTGGACCCAAAGGGGAATGATTTACTGGATGAGGTAATCAGTCTCACCACATTATATAGTATAAAGGAAATCCTGTCATCCACTTTCAAACCGCATTCATGTGTTTTCTGTTTGGTTGCTTTCACAGGCCATGGCTGCAGATAAGAGTGACGAGTGGTTTGTCAAACACAACAAGCAGAAGGCTTCAGCATAAACACTGTCTGGCTTTATTGAAACTGCTTGAAAAGATCCAGGATGTTCAGTCAACCAGATTTTTGTAATTATACATTTCAGTGGTTCGGAAATGATGATCGTTTTATTTCATGAAAATAACATTGACTTTATCAAGTATTCCTAAAAAAAACGGCATCTCTCTACTTTTGGACATGGTGAAAAATATGCATATTTGTGTAATTATAAAAAGTAAATCTTCATGATTATGTTGTTATTCTCTTGAAAGTGTAAATACAGTGGTGTGAAAAAGTGTTGGCCCCCTTTTTAAATGAAATTAAAAGGCCAAAAATATTAATAAATAATAAATAAAAATTTTTAAAAATGCGTAAGCTGAAATCACATTTCTTTTCCTCCTCAGTAACTGTTATTTTCATTGAAAAACATAGAATCTTGAATCTTATATACTTACGAAATAAATCATGTTTTAATTTAATATATCAACACTGAATTTCTAAATTTAATAAAAAAATAAATTATAAATCTTTTTTTTTTTTTAAGCTGCATTGTCGTTGCACTGCAGAAATAACAGAGGAAACAGCTTAACCAAAAAGCGTCCAGAAAGGTTGAGAACCACTAGTGCAAGGTGACCTGTGGTCAGGTGACACTGTCTGAGATAAAGATGACAGTCAGCTGACTGTCCAAATCATAAAACTGGCCATTTACATACTGTAATTTTTAATAGTTAAAATAAGACTGAGAATTGCAGAGTTTTCGTCTATAAAGATGGGAAGACTCATTAAACCTTCGTGCCCCTTTAGTTTAAAAAATAAGTAGCAATTCTATCTATCTATCTATCTATCTATTTGGAAGTGTTTATTGAACTTTTAGACAAAAATATTTTTAAAAGTTTACATATGTGCTTTGTCGAGTATCATTTTTAATGCATCAGCCTTTTATGGCTCATGTAGTATGACATGGTGAGAATCTAGAGGTCATATTTGAGGAGGAAAAAACACCTTAATTTTATTCAGAGGCCCAAAAATATGAATTTGGTGCAATTGCTAATATTTATATGGGCAAAAAAAAGTATGAGGGATTCCTCGAAAATCAATGAAATCAGACTGCTTGCATATAATGCATGTACATATGACTTGTCACTCTATATCTTTCAAATTTTTTGTCTTAGTAAGATGATATTTAAATGCTAATGTGGGGAAGTCGTGGCCTAATGGTTAGAGAGTCGGACTCGTAACCCAAAGGTTGCGAGTTCGAGTCTCAGGTCCGGCAGGAATTGTAGGTGGGGGGAGTGAATGTACAGCGCTCTCTCCCACCTTCAATACCACGACTGAGGTGCCCTTGAGCAAGGCACCGAACCCCCAACTGCTCCCTGGGCGCCGCAGCAAAAATGGCTGCCCAGTGCCCACTGCTCCGGGTGTGTGTTCACGGTGTGTGTGTGTTCACTGCTGTGTGTGCACTAAGGATGGGTTAAATGCAGAGCACTAATTCCTAGTATGGGTAACCATACTTGGCCACATGTCACGTCACTTAAGTTTTATAATCAAAGCTCTGTAGTTATTATTGTGGGGTGCAAAAAATATAATGCAGTGCAGTGCAACGATGATTGAGAGATGGACAAATAAATGCCTGATGTTTCATATTTGATGCTTACATTTTAAAGTGATTTTTAAGTAATAAATGGACAATTAAGTAAAGCTAAGTTGCTTCAGCCCAGTAAATGTTCATCTTAAAATATTTCTAATTATAAAAGTTATTCTTACGTTTACTTTATAAAAATCAGTAAATATTTCACAGCGAAACGCCACTACCTGAAGACGGGCTTTTTTTTTTTTTTTAACAATCCTACTAAAAGGCCTTTTGCGTGCTAAAAAGTATAAACTATCAGTCAGATTACAGAAGGCATGTAGTAGATTATGTACAACAGGTGGGTCATGTTGATAGTATAAAGGCCTTATAAGTAGAAATTTGCATATCAAATATGATGCAGTAGACTGTATGTAGTTAAGAGTTGCAACTGGTGTGGTGCAGTGATGTTTAATATATATTCTAGCACTATAAAGCCTTTTTCTGTTTTGTAGGAAATTGACAGGATATGGATTTCTTGCAAAATAGTTAACCCGGACTTGCCGTAAGTATAATTATAAGACATAGTTAGTGTAAATATTGTCTGTTGATGATCGGTCATTGTGATTGTGTTGTATTTATTAGGAGGTTTTTGGCGTTGTGTGTGGGTGAGGCTCGAGTCCGCTTTGACCTACAGGAGCCATTTAGGCCCCGGGCTCCTAAAAGCAATGAGGAGAATTCCAAAAGACCTCCTCCGAGTCCCTCTACCCTGCACCTCCTCTCTCAGGTAATCAACTTGACTGTTGTTTTGGAGAATCCCAGGTTCAGTACAAGTTAAGCTCAATGCAAAGCTGACATGCTGTTGATTACCACAGAAGAGCAATATATATTGTTCTGAAGAAAAGAAAAGGGTGTTATAGTAATGCACTTGCAATGAAATTCAATGGGGCAAGACAAGAAAGCTCATACTATTTCAAAAATATCACTACAAGATTTAAAAATTATACTCCTTAATGTTCACTTACTCAGTTGGCCTGTGTAAAATTATATCCTACCTTTTATCTCATAATTTTATATGAAAGAATGGAATGCCGTTCTCCGTGGACTTTCACTGCAAGTTCAATACTGGGGATACAATTGTACAGTTCCTTTAAAGGAGACATATTATGCCCCTTTTTACAATATGTAATATAAGTCTCTGGTGTCCCCAGGATGTGTCTGTGAAGTTTCAGCTCAAAATACTCCACAGATCATTTATTATATCATTTTGAAAATGCCTATTTTGAGTGGAAGCAGAAACACGCTGTTTTTCGGGCCTGTCTCTTTAAATGCAAATGAGCTGCCGCTCCCCGCCCCCTTTTCCAGAACAGAGCTGCGCCATTACAGCTCGGACCTGCTAAAAAACATCTGTTTTGGTTCTGATTATCATGTTTATCGCTCTGAAATCATACTAATCTAAGTTCTCATTCACACACAAAGGTTACGTTAAAAACACACGAGTTACAAAAACAGTCGGTTATGTCTGTGAAGGTAAACAGCTAGGAAATAAATTGCATGTTTATTTTAGATCTGTGTGGCAGCAGCAATATACAGTAAATAAATCAATAAATCCACTGCTGCTTGTCTGTGCAGCCAATGACAGAACAATTTGCATGTTTTGCTCAAACTTTCGCCATGGCATTAGAACTAGTACACCGTTGTCACTTGCAAAAACACAATAACTGCGTCATGGGTGGAAACTGACAGATTAAGGGGCGGTAATATTATAATGAGATCCCTTTGCCACGTCACCAAGGGAGCGAAATCAGACGCGCTCGTTTTCTCAGACGCTTGCAGAAAAAGGCTTCCCAAAACAAAGTTACTGGGTTAATCTTTTTTACGTTTCCTTGGTTGGTAGATGCACTGGGGACCTGATTATAGCACTTAAAACCTGGAAAAGTCAGATTTTCATGATATGTCACCTTTAAATTTTCCAGTGGTGTCTGTTTTGCAGCTGCTGTCATTCCACATTGACTCTATAAATGTGATGGTGTTGAATCTGGCCCTGCCTGAGTCCCTCTGGCACATGACATCCTCTGCCATCACTTTGCTGCTGGATCATCAAAGTAAAAGGTGATTAGCCTGTAAAAAAAAAGAAGAACTTCTTTTAAAAAAGGCTTCTGCATGGTGTTGTGTGACTGATAGCTGTGTGCATAGCGGGTAAAGCTCACTTCACCAACCGAATGGGATGCATGAAGCTTTAAAACCATTAAGCCTGTACTTAATTTCATGTTGTGAGCACAATTGGTGGCTGACTAAATACTTTTTTTCCCCACTGTAAATGAGTAACAAATGGCCACGATTGACCATGGCAATAAATGGTTAATATCTAAATTCTATGCTATTTTGTTTAAAATTTTAAATGTTACAAGTACAATTTAGGCATCATAATATTATAGCGCACAGTATGAGAAATGGATATTTATTTAATAGTGTTATTACTAGTTTTTTTCTTATAATTAGCTTTAAGTGAGAAAAAGGTAAAGTAAAATTAAAAAATGTTTGGGATTGGTAAGATTTTTTGTTTTTGAATTTGATTTATTGATTGACTGATTTTTATGTTTTTTAAAAAGTTTCTTATGCTCACCAAGGCTGCATTTATTTGACCAAAAATACAATAAAAACAGTAATCATTTGTAAAATGGTTACAATTTAAAATAACTGTTTTCTATTTTTACTTTTAAAAATGTAATTCTATTCTTCTGATGAATGACGATAAAGCTGAATTTTCAGCAGCCGTTACTCTGGTCTTCAGTTTTCAGTTTACATTTTGTTTTTCAGGATTCTTTTCTAAATAAAAAGTTTAAAACAACAGGAAATATTTGACAACATTGTAAACATTATACTGTCACTTTTTTTAATCAATTAAATGCATCCTTGCTGAATAAAAGTATTAATTATAAAAGCAAATAACAAAAAAAAAATCTTACTAACCCCAAACTTTTGAATGCTAGTGTAATGAACATGCACAATTAATTATCCAATATCTACTGATAAATATACTTTTTATTTTAATAACCAATATACCAGTATACTGTGCATCCCTATTCCTATTCCACAAGGATCAAGCCACAATCTTTCACTATTTTGGGCCTGACCAAGCCCTTTAGAGAAACAAGCTACCCAACTGCCTACTCAAATGACAACTTGTTGATATGTTGTCAGGTTGGCCTGGGATTTCTCAGTGGGACAACTTAGCAGTAAAGTTCTGAAGAGCAGCAGACTGGTATGTACAGCAAACATTCATGAGTTAAGGTGTTAATTCACTATGTTGTGTACAAAACATAAACGTTTGGGTTAAATGGTTACAAGGTGGTAACTGAATGCCTGTGCTCTCATTAGCAGGACACGTGTCTGGCTGAGGTATCGCTGAGTCTGGCCCTGAATGGTGACGTGAGTCTGCCTGGTCTCAGGCCGGGTCGTCTGGGACTGTGTGTGAGAACTCTGCTGGCTGAGCTTCACGAGGGCCTGTTCCTCAGCCAGCTCCCCAAACCTCCAGGAGCTGCTCCTGCTGTCTGCACAGCTCACACTGCAGGTTTGACCTTTAAGCTACACACCTTACATTAAAGCTATGCAGTTAGTCATAATACATCCGAAATCGTAATTTAGCTTAGTGCAATTATCAAATGGCAAAGGCTGCAATTTAATAAAAAAAATTTAAACCGGATGTCGTTAACAAAAGAGAAGCTTTTGACATCCTGCGGTTTTCCATCAAAAGAAAAGTCTGATAGTTTAATATCTGAAAATGAAAAAAATTAAGATGCAATAAATAGTAGTATTGTAATTTTACAGTTCTTTAAAATAAAATTATTTTATTTTTCTTTACAGTGAAATATTACAGTAGTATATTCTTATTTTGTTAAATATTTATATTTAGTAATGATGATAATAATTGACACGTGTGTGTGTGTGTGTGTGTGTGCGTGCGCGCAGTTAGGTTTTTGTGCATCCCTGCTGTAAATCATTATAGTTTATAGTTTTTATTTTTGAAATGTGTTTTTTAAATATATATTTTCCATTTTAATTTCAGTCAAAGTTTTAGTAATTTTGTTTTATTTATTTATTTATTTATTTTAAATATGGTTTTTAGTTATAAATATGTTTTTTATTGTTTTATAGCTTATAGTTTTCATTAATTTCAGTTAAGGTTTTACATATTTCAGTAATTCATGTTCATCTTCAAATTTTGCCTTGGCACGTAGCAGAAATAAAATTAGTTTATGTATTCTATTTTATTTCTGTTAACTTTCATATTATTTCAACTAGTGAAAACTGTTGTAATTTTATTAATATATACTATACTATAATATGATATATATAATATAGTAATTAACCTTGCTGTAAATATAAATGTTAAAGCTTTTTGGTGTTTGTGCCTGCCTCTTCAAGATGACAAAGAAGACCCTTACATCCAAACTGAAGCAATTGAGCGTCTTCACAACCTGATTCCACAGAAGGTCAATGTGGATTTTGAGAACACTAATATCACACTCTCCATGCACAGTCAGAAGAGGTGAGCAGTGATGTTACAGTTCTTCTGATCAATCTTGAATTTTATTTTTGTGTTCTAACAAACTATGTTTGTTTTGCAGACTTTTGAACTGGACTTTAAAATCTCTGAAGCTGGGTTATGATCGTGATGATGAGCAGCTTCCTCTGAAGAGTTTCTCCCCTGAGCTCAGTTTCCCACAGAGCCGTCTGGAGCTTCTGCTGGAGGGTAAAGTACACATGAACACACTCTTTATCACTGTTATTTTTGCTTAGAGTTAGGGATCTGAACACACACTTAAAGCTACGTATTGTGGGTACTGGGTGTTTTTCAGATGGTCTTTTACTGTCACAAAGCCGACAGAGAATTTTATGTCTGAACACACTCAGAACAATACTGCAGGTGAGTTGTTTTGCTCGCTTTCTATATGATTTCTCTATGCAAATCAAAATCTTTCTTTGCAGCTTCGTGTTTGTTTTGTTCTTCATTATTGTTTCTACCGTCACTCTCTCTTAAGGTGACATCTGTTGACATCTCTAGCACGGTCACCGTCAACACTTGTATCATCCACTACCGTCATCAAGAGTTCTCCCATTGGCTGGACATGTTATCATGGGACCAGCTCTCGCATAAAAAAACGACTCGTAAAAAAAGGTATAAATCGCCCGCTTGCTTTCTGAGCGTCCCAGATTGGGCAGTAATGGAGGTCTTGTTTATTGTTCTCTCATAAGTGTCCTTTCGTCTCTCCCAGGCGTTTCCCTCAGCTGGACGCTCCCCTGATGATAAACTCTTCCGTGTCTAATGTCAATGTGTCAGTGCAGTTGGGAGATACGCCACCCTTTGCCCTGGGCTTCATCTCAGCCAACACTGGTAAATAGAGAAGTGTGGCTATTGAATGCTGTTAAAAACAATAGACAGTTGAACAACCCATTCAGATTAGATCGGAATTACTCGAAATAACAGCAGGTTTTGTTCTCTACCAGTTAGAGATGAATGAGAAAGTATTTTCATGTTGTGATTATGTAGCTTAGCTTTATAGAATACGTTTTCATGTATGTGTATATATATATATATGTGTATATATATTGAAAAGCACAATTTCAAAGGCCAAAATATTTTGTGACACTGATCTGCACAGGGAAATCACATTGAATGTGGCATTAATTAATTTCTTTAATTACATTGATATATAATTAGGACATTATTTTATTAAAAATACACAATTCATAATGTAATATTTAATATTGTTAATATTATTATCAATATTGAAATATGTTCTTGCTGTAAAATATTATTATAATATATAAAAATATTTATTATAATAAATTACAAAGGCCAAAATATTTTGTGACACTGATCTGCACAGGGAAATCACATTGAATGTGGCATTAATTAATTTCTTTAATTACATTGATATATAATTAGGACATTATTTTATTAAAAATACACAATTCATAATGTAATATTTAATATTGTTAATATTATTATCAATATTGAAATATGTTCTTGCTGTAAAATATTATAATAATATATAAAAATATTTATTATAATAATTTAATTATCTAAATATGTCACTTTGCCTTGTCAGTGTACTGTTGGCAGTGTTATTGTAGTATTATTTATATACCATTATAGTATTTTTAATATTTTGAATTACATTTTTTTTTTAATTGTTTAAAAGTTAGTTTTAGTCATTTTATGTGCTTTTGTCAGGTTTATTCATTAATTTCAATATTTCTGTTTAGCTTTCATTATTTCAGTTTTAGTTTTAATAATTTTAGTGCTTCAGCTGTAACATTTTTTACTTAGTCACCAATCCAACATTTCATTGAGTTTTATAAAATAAATATTCTAATATTTATAATTTGTTTAAACTTTATTTCAATTATACAAAAACTAGTTTAATTGTTTTAGTTAACTCTTTCCCCGCCAGCATTTTTGAAAAAAGTTGCCAGCCACCACCAGCGATTTTGATGATTTTCACTAAAATTTGATGGCCTCCAGTATATTTTGCTGTATGAATATTTCATTTGAATATGCAATACACCAAAATAAGATCAGAGCCTCTACTTTTTTTTAAACCAAAAAATCCGTTTTATTCTAGCTTAAAGCATTCTTTTTTTTATCAACACTTGAATATAGGTAGGTTTCATAAAAAAATGCATTATTTTGAGCAAAAAGGTGAGAAAATCACATTTTTATCAAAAACTACATCTGGATAATATTCAGTACGATTATCAAAGCATAAATCCAGTAAATCGCTTCCATCAACACCTCCAAAGCTTGCACAGACATCACTTTCTAGATCAACATTTTACTTCATAACATTATGCAGTTTTCATTTATATGCTGTCTATTGCTGATGATCGCATTATTTTTCATATGCATCTGTTTACATAAGAGATCACTAGTTTCTCAGTCCTGTTCACATGTGTTTTTTGTTCGGGAGGTTTTGTACTCGTTC